GCCTGCACTGTCCCAGGAGAGGAATCTTCGCCCATCACATACCAGAGGTGCCCATTGTCTGCATTTTTCCCAGGTGTAAATTATGCTTTGCACCCTTCGTGGGAAACTTGGTGTTCAAAGCCATTTTTCCTAATTGGCCACTTGAGCCCAGGAAGAAGCCTACATGACCCAAGGGGTATAAAAAGAGGTTCAGCCGCCCACCCCATTTGAGCTCCAATCATCTATACCTGCTGGCAGGTATTGATTGTCTCCCGAGGTCTGTGGGACGCCCAACCTCGCCCTACTTCTTCCCGAGGGATTGAGAGAAAGACGCTGGCCACGCCAAGTCTGGAACGCAGGGGTGAGAATATATACCTGCTATGTGTCTATTTTGCATGCATTTAATAAGAGCTCAGAGAACCAAAGGGTTTCATGGTACCTGTAAGTGACTTATTAGTGTAATTTCTGTCCTGTCCTTTGTAGTGTCTGTGTTATCTGTAACACAGTAGTAGCATTTAACAACTAAGTTTACCCTGTAACAATAAATAGTAACTGTTTAAGCTTTAACCTGACTCCTTCAGTTGCTGTAACAGAACCAAGCACAATTTAAAAGAACTTCAGCCGGTCATAAGGGACTCACTGCCCTGACCGTCGGCTGACACTCCTCTGGTGCTGGTCCCTCCCCTGCAGGTATCTGCCCTTCTGCTTCACACCCAGAATCCCCTGGCACCTGCACCTTCCCTTAGCCCTGAACCCTCCTGGTGTCTCCCCCTTTGCTCTCTTTTTCCCTGATGTCCACCCCCTCACCACTCTCTGCCCCCATTCACCTCATGCCCCTCTGTGCCCTCACACATGACTTGCTCCATCCCCACCTTTCTCATGCCCACCCCTTCTTTCAAGCCTTCTCCCAGCACCTCCCTCTCTAGTCCCCAATGCCCTTACCCTCCCCTCTCCCAGCATCACCCTGTCCCCCTCCCACTGACACCTCCCCTCCTGCCCTTTTCCTCATTGTCTGCACTTGGCCTCCTGGCATTTGTCTCCCCTCCACCCTGTGCCTTGGGGCCTTCCCCTTTCTACCCCTTCCCCCTCTGCACAAGCCCCTTCCTCTCCCACCCCTTCCCCCTAGTTTTCTCTTTCCCCTACCTTCTGCTTTCCACTTTGCGGGGCCGGAGTCTGGGCTCGAGCAGCAGCATGCGCCAGCGAGGGGGAGCCTCACTGAAAGCTGAAAGCTGCACATGGCAGGGACAGCCCGGTGCCGGGGTGGGAGAACGTGCGAGGGGGCCAGCAGGTGGAGACCGGGGACCGCTTCAGGCAGAGCCGGGGGAGAGACCCAACTCCAAATATTGCTGGAGCAGGGCCCCCACCAGCTCTTGTGCTTACCGTCTGTCCCAGCAGAGTGGTGCCCCAGAAATAGTGGTGTCCTACGCAGCTGCGTACTCTGCATATGCCTAAGGATGGCCCTGGCAGCAGGTTCCCAGACAATGGGAGTGTGGAGCTAAGTCTTGGGGAAAAAGCACTGTGTGGAGCCTTATGCACTTTTCCCTCCTCCTCTCCCTTCCCTCCCCCTGTCAGGAGTCAGGCCTGCTGCTGGCCACTTCTGGGGTGCAGCATAGATTGCAGTGCCAGGATGAGCAAGAAGCCCACTTTTGCATCCCCATGGATCACCCTGCATCAACGAGACCCAGTGCCTGACATTCCATGACTCCTAGTTTGAAAACCACTGATCTAGACCATCCCTGACAGGTGCTAGTTTAACGGGCTTTTAGAAATCCCCAGTGATGGAGATTGCACCATCTTCTTGGGCAATTTATTTCAGTGCTTAACCCATCTGACAGGAAATTTTTCCTAATGTCCAATCAATCTACTTTCCCCTTCTACAAGGCTTGTGGTCCCATGCAGATATCCAAAAGATTCCTCAGCATCGTGTGGTGAAAAAGGGGAGAAAGTCTCTTATTCATCTTGGGTACAGCTAGACTGTGAGGATTTATCAGAAAAAGATATGCAAACTGCGCTTCGCATTTTGTTTATCTTTTTCCAATACTTTTGTCGGAAGAGGCTTTTCTGAAATTTGGCCCATCTAGACTAGGAAATTTCGGAAAACCCCCCTCTTTCGAAAGTCCCCTTGTTCCTTGTGTAACGAGGAATACAGGGTCTTCCAAAAGAGTGCGTTTGCTCTTCCGCAAAAAAGCAGAAGAGCAAATGTGTTCCCTGGACCCGATGGAATCTAGTCATACCCATTGTATGCCCACTGTCTTGTTATCCAAGCAACACAAAAGTCCCATAATTCTTGACAAGGGCCGTACTTTTATACATTTCAATGAACAATTCATCAGCAACCCCCTCACTATTTGAAGTCTCTTCATGTTGCAATACACAGTGATCAGGCAAAGAGATCATTCCAGTACAGTCCAGACCCTGATGCTAATGCTGAAATCAATGCAGTTGCTCACATTCCTAATCCCTGAAAGCAGCAAGGTGAGCCACTGGATAAAGAAAAATGTGGATTTTCAAACGTGCTTTCACTAATTGGGGGTAGGTTAAGCAGATGAGGAAGGGGAAGAGAGAGAGCACAGTGACTAAATATGCACACAGCTAGTCCTTTCTGCACTGCTTGGACACACAGAAAGGCAGATGGCTATCTGTTCCAGTATCCCGTCTTTGACAATGGCTAGTGACCATGTTTCAGAGAACATGCTTTATTTTTCATTAGCCAGTTACCATCAATGGTAACTGGCTAGTGATGGTTTTCAAACACCTGAGTTTGAATGAACTCATGTTATTCTATTTTGACAATGGAAAAAAGGAGTAATGAGTTATTGTAACAAGTGAGCTGCACTAATTGCGGGGATTGAAAGCCATCCTGATTCTGGATATATGGACATGGGAGACATGTTGAGGAACGGCTGCTTTGAGAGACAAATCAAATATTCATAGGATGAACTGAAACAAGTGGAATCTTTACTGCATCCAGGTAACACTCCCCTTCTTTGCAAGTGCATGAGAAAGCAGGGTGAAAGCCTAACTCAGTGCTTTGGTTTTAGTATTAATGTGCCTTATCAGATAGACACGCTTTATGAATGCCTACTTCAGGGAGAGCTGCTATCCATCTGACTCCAGTATGCAACAGGACAAAACAGTCACCATGATGCAGGGTACTTGTTCTCTGAAGTAGGAGACAGCTTTGAGCAGATCCAGTTCATTTTACACCAATAGAGATTCCACAGACAACGTGCTTTCCTCTCTTCCAATTCAGCTAGATAGCTTATCTCAGCTGTTGTGGACGCATCACAGAAGCCTCTTTATCAAATTTTGCTGCTGGTGCTTGAAAATGAATAGGCTGACTTGAGGAAAGGGGCTATTTGGAGTAAATCTGGAGGTGTTACAACAATATAGTTGTTTTAATAATAACAGTAAAAGGAGGGGGAAAGTATCCAATACTCTATAATCAAAACTAAATGGCAGGGCTGAGCTACATTGTTGTTTTAACCTCAGGGTCCCCGAGGAGGATTATATTTGTCCTGGGCATTTTGTGACCTCTGACCCATTTCAGCATGACTGCCCCTTCTCCACTTGTCTAGCCTGTTCTCTGGTTGAAAAGGGGGGCTTGTGGGAATATTGCACAAAAGAGACCACTATATTTATCCATGTCAGTATAACTGATATTTTTTCATGATTTTTTTAAAAAAATTTAGTTTTGAACATTTTCAAGACTTTTTTTTTCTTCCTCCCTCTGCAAAATTTTTGGTTTTGTTGCTGCCTTGCCCCACCTCCCTTTCCCCTTTAACCTTCATCCAATTACCACTGAAAAGGTTATTGTTTTTCCTTTCTCTGCCCTTTTCTTTAAAGAAAAAAAGGGATGGAGTTGTTTTGGTTTTCTGGACAGTCTGGCTACTGACGACCTAGTAGGAGCATGGTTTGAATTCTGACCCCAGAAGTGTTAGCACTCAGTTTCTATTTTAGTCACACGGTTTTTCTTCTTGCTGCTACTTGGGATGGCAGAGAGGCAGATGATGGCTGCAGAAGAAAGTGGCTCTTGCTGTGCAAGACAAGTAACAGATTGGGAATGGTTCCCAGCAGAAGCAGGCAGAAGAGGGTAGAACTCACTCCAGTCAGGAATCCTGACAGCATCTCTTCTTTTAGTGGCTGTAAACCTTCATGACTCCTTCAGTTGATTAGAGCACTGGTGCTCAATCTTTTTTAATTTGCAGCCCCCGGGGCCGGGAAAGCGCTGGTTCACTCCCTTGCTCCTCCCCTTGCCCCACCACACACATGTCTAGCGCTGAGCTGGGAAAACAAAATGGGTTTGCACATACTGCTGGATTAGAGTAAACCCAAAAAGTTTCAATTTTGACAAATTGGCAATTCCTGATGAAAAAAACGGTTTAGTTTGAAAATGCTCTGCCTAGCTTTCATACTGAGCAGTCACAACTCTTATCCATCTCAGTGGTGGCTGAGGGCAAGGTCACTTCTCTGGGTTGTACCAGAATGGAGCTTGTGTGTGGTAGAAGCAGAAGATGTTGCCCTGGTGTCTCCTCTGTGATAATCCTCTCAGTCACTTTCACTTACTTTAATGAGACTCTATCCCTGGTGCTTGATGGGTTAAATGACCTGTTGTTAGTGCTTTTACTGTGATATGTGATGTTGTCATGTCTCCCTGGGAAAGATTTGGGTGGCTAGAGCAGCTTCTTTCTAGAAAGCCTGAAAACTGCACCTAAGAAAGGAGAAAACAAACTCTTCATGCTAAAAGGGGAGAAACAACTGAAGAAATTAAAATACTGTTTTGAGTGACAGCCCAATTTAGTAATCTCAGGTCTGCCATGGGCACTCTTTGATCTTGGGCAAGTTACTTAATCTCTGTGTTCTTTCCCCAGCCGTGAAATGGGAGATGACAACAAATCTACTGCACTGCAGTGCAGTAAGTTAATTAGCTGGATTTTAGTTAATTAATGGCAGCACGGTGCAACTAAGTGTTATGAGCAGTGACAGGAAGTTAATGGCGCTCGTCATCTTTTCTTTGGCAGGTTATATGTCAAGAGTGCTAAAGAACTACAGTGACCATGCCTGTGATGGAGAATATGTCTCCCTGAGATGTCCTCATAGAACCACCATCAGCATCCAGTCTTCCTTTTATGGCCGCATTGTGCCAAGTCATCAGATGTGTCCCTCCCGATACCTACAGTCCTATGCAACTTTAATTAAGGAAGATGTTGCCTGTTCAGTTGGTACTTCCCTTCAGGTATTGCATGCTAATCTACATTTATTTAATTGTGGGTGTCCTCTTTCCCCAAGCCATGCAGAAGTTGTCCTGTGCTTGATGCCACTTAGAGTATAGATTTGAAAACCATCATGCTGGGTAATATTGGCCACCTAACGACTGGAGCAGGTTCCCAAGTACTGTGGTGGATTTTTCACTGAGGAAAATAAGGTCCAATGTTTTTCTAAAAGATATATGGTAGCTCTAAGTAGAATTGAGGGAAATCTTATGGTGTTATCTCAGAGGTCAGAGTAAATTATCACAGTTCTTCCTTCTGGCTCCATACTCTATGAAATTGTTAATAAATGATTTGTTCTTGCAGTGTACATGGGAACGAATTATTGATATGGATGATACCTCTCACCAGTATCTTCTCTTAAGCATGTGTGACTACCACAAAACCTTTCTGCATTAAATATGATTGGAAAATTCAGATGTTAATACCTCAGCATTGCTTGATGTTGTTGACTTTAATGTGGACTATTCCTGGGTATAACAGGCAAATCAGAGATTTGGATTGCAAGCTTTTGGGACAAAGATGTGCAATTTTATTTGTATTCAGAACCCTGCCTATTTATGTCTGAAAGTCAATTAGAATGATAATAAATCTGATAGCAGAAGCAAGAGGTTTAAAGGAATGATGCATCTATGGTGCAAGGAACCATTTTGTCATCATTTTGGCAAATGTGCAGTGCTCCCCATAGAGCTCCTAATTGAGGCACTCGGGCACTTTTAGATAAATTTAAGGTTTATTTTAAAAAGCTGATCTGAGTGCTTTAGCTCCTACATGTTAGTGGTAATGCTGAAGATAAGAGTCCTGGAGCAGCATGTGCCCTGTAAGAAAACCAAATGCTGACAGATTTGCCGTTGCTCTTGTAACACTAATACTGCATATCAAGTGGCTGGGAGTCTCCTTCCATCATGCCAGAATTTGTAAGAAAGGAAGGTTTTCCCAAGTATGATGGTGTAGTTTGCAACCAGGAGGACAACAGGCAGGCATGCTGTGTGGTCGGGGGGATGTGGTGATTAAAGACAAAGGATTTCGGTTGAGGCTAACCCTATCCTCTCTTTTATTTATTTATTTGTTGCCGAACAGTGCTTTTCAAAGTCTGTTCAACAAGTTATGTTTGCATGCATAATAGACACACATGTATTTAGTCCTTTCTCTTATCTCCGAGGGTATGTCTACACTACAACGTTAATTCGAACGTTGGTCTGCTGGCTGGGTCTGCTGGCTGGGTGCTGGCAGGCTTGCACCTGGCACGGGCACCGTAGCCAGCCCATGCCCCTTTAAGAGGTCCAGGGCCAGGAGGGGGGCAGACGAGTTTCCCTGGTGTTGGCCAGAGTGGCCACCAGGGAAACCTGGGGAGGGCTAGCCTCCCACTAGTTCGAATTAAGGGGCTACACACCCCTTAATTCGAACTAGCTAGTTCGAACTAGGCTTAATCCTCGTGGAATGAGGATTACCTAGTTCGAACTAAGCAGTCTGTTAGTTTGAATTAAATTTGAACTAATGGAGCGCTAGTGTAGCGCCTATGAAAGTTAGTTCGAACTAACGGATGTTAGTTCGAACTAACTTTGTAGTGTAGACATACCCCAAGTGGCATATTTAAGAAACCTCTTCAGCATCTGGAATAGTGGGAGAAGAGGAGCGATGCAATGCTGTTGTCCATGCCATGACTGATTTGCAGGTGTGACATAAAGACAGTCTCAGGTGCTTGACAGGGCTCTCCTGGAATCATAGAAATTCAGGGCTGGAAGGGACCTAGAGAAGTCAAGTCCAGCTCCTTGTACTGAGGTAGAATCAAATAAAACTAGAACATCCCTGACAAATGTTTGTCCAACCTGTTCTTAAAATCCTCCAGTGAAGGCCAAGATCATAACAGGGTTCAAAAAAGAACATTCGTGAAGGATAGGTCCAAATTGACAAATGGTCAGGAGGGGCAGGGATGGTGTCCCTAACCTCTATTTGCCAGAACCTGGGGGAAGAGGGCAACAGGGGATGGATTACTTGAAGATTACCTGTTCTGGGATTGACCACTGTTGGAGGACAGGGTACTGGGCTGAATGGGCCTTTGGTCTGACCCAGCATCGCTATTCTCATGACTCTCCAGGGTCAGCTGACCACTAGTTGAATACCACTGTTTTAGAGGATGAGTTTACAAAGTGACTGAGATTTCATTATTATTTATGATAAGAACGGCCATACTAGGTCAGACCAATGGTCCATCTAGCCCAGTAGCCTGTCTGCCAACAGTGGCCAATGCCAGATGCCCCATAGGGAATCATGCTTGTACACTTAAAAAGCTAGCCTGGGACTAAGGAGTCCTCATGTCAGTTCCCTGCTCTATGAATTACTTCCTGTGTAACCTTGGGCAAGTCATTTAGTGTCTCTGTACCTGTGTTCCCCATCTGAAGAATGTGGGTAAGAGGGATGTAAAAACGCATTTAAAAATGTAACTAAAAATCATAGCAGGTACACGGTTACACATACAGTGTAAAGCTTATTTAAGCTTTATACTGTAGAGTCGACAGTGAAGCCTCCCTGGGAGGCGGACCAGCAAGAGCTGCTGCCAGCCCAATTCCTGGAGAGGCTTCACTGCAGGCTCTGCAGCCAGCTCCCCGGTTGCCAATGTGTAACCTGCAGCAGGGAGTGTGTAGGGGAGCGGCTGGGCCCACCATGGACAGGGCCTGCGCCAGCTCCTCCTGGGTAACTGGAACCAATAAGTCTCGCTTGCTAAGGGTGAGGCTTGCCAGTTAACCCTTTATATCCTTAGTGGGTAATAGAACTTTCTTACTTCACGCTAGTTTTGTGAGGAGAAATAAGTTAATGCTTGTGAGGTGTTCCAATGCTATGGTGATGGAGGCCGTAGAAGTACTTTATATCAGCAGCCTCTTCAGACTGTGTTCCTCCCCATCACACAGTGTCTCTCTTGAACCCTTCTCTCATCCTAGTACTCTTGCCATTTTCCATGCTGCTTCCTGTGCCAGGAAAACACAGTCTTCTTCATTTTGTGCTCCAGATAACTTCCATCCATTTCAGACACTAGATGTCTTAACAAACCCACAGGAAGTGCCAACTACCTACTTTTTTAAACTCAGTGGTACAGACAATATAGATGGGGCCATTGTGTTTGCATCCTGTTTGCTTGTAATTAAAAAAAATCAACCAAACTAGGATCCTTCACAATTAAATCACTGGAGCTAATCAAGCCCTTGGTTGTAGAAATCAGTCATTCTGGAAGAGGTGTTTGGGATGTTATTAATATCCTTCACAACAAGGGAATCCCTTGTTACCAATGAGTTACATTTAATTCCTGTTTAAAGGATCCCCACTGCCAAGAAGGACAGTTGGGAAGCCTTTTCTGTGACAAAAGTGAAAAGGCTGAGGTTGATTACACTGAGATTTATCACTGTTAATCCAGGCCCCTGGCCTAGTCCTTGGGGTCAAGTGCTAGAATCCTTCGCTATCAGCACTTGTTTTCATTTGAAACAAAGGTTACGCCACATGGAAATGCCTATCCAAAACATTATGTCAATGACCCAGAACTACAGATTTCTGTTGTTTTAACATAGTAAAGTAAGATTTGATGTGAGATTTCCAAATGCGTGAAGACTTTAGGGCAAGCAGAAAGGAGCCTTTCATACTTTCCGTCATGAAGTGACTGGGTGCCTACTTGGCTGTTGGTCCAAATGAATGAATGGGGTAGGTGAAAGGATAGATGAAGGGTGTGTAGAAAATCAGGCACTATTTCTCTGCCCTCACATTTGTGGTGCATTTTCAAACAGCCATCACGTGTGCTAGAGTTCCCAGTATTTTCATATCAATAGTTTGAAGCTGGCATTGCAGTGCCTGCTGGAGGACAATCAGAAAAGTGTCTGTCATTTTTCTTGAGGCAGCTGTTGCATTTTTTTTAGATATTGATGTGTGAAAAGTGATTATTTGGGCTAACTTTGGATGTACTTGACTCTGGCAGTGGCAGTATAGCAGTGCTATAAGCCAGCCACATCACTGACCTGGATTCTGTTGCTGCTGGAATTCCACACAGATTATTCCTCATAGGGTGATAAGGAATCAGTATACAGGTGCCAGTCAGGAATATACTGAGAAACTATGGTGATGGGGGCAGAACAGGAACATACACAATGACTCCTCTTTGGCTGTGCAGGGGACCCATGCAGTTGCAACTATGCGGAGCGGGGGAGAAGTAGAAATAGAATACAACAGCTGTGTCCTACTTAAATACTAATGTCTAACTTGTGCCCAGAAAATGCCTCTGATCACCAATAGATCATTGTGTGCACCAAATAATAATATAATATATGGAGATATACCTATCTCATAGAACTGGAAAGGACCTTGAGAAGTCATCCAGTCCAGTCCCCTGCCTTCACAACAGGACCAGATACCATCCCTGACAGAGTTGCCCTAGATTCCTAAATGGCCTCCTCAAGGATTGAGCTCACAACCCTGGGTTTAGCAGGCCAATGCTCAAACCACTGAGCTACCCTACTCCACATACCTTTGAATGGAATAGGTATTTTCATGTTTTGCATACATTGGTGCAGTTACCACTTCATAGTAGAGTTGGTAAAAAAAAACAATTCTGTTTGGTTTGGTGGCTGAACAGGAAAAAAAAAATCATTTTGGGTCAACCTGCATTTTTTTTTTTTTGCTAAAAGGAAAAAATCATTTCTGATCGATTACAACTGTTTCCCTTTTGCATTTTTTCCCATCAACATTCATGTTTCATGTTATTGTGACTCTCTATGAACTTGCACTCACGTCTCATAGTGGAGGTTACAGTTATAGTAAATTTGTAGGCTCAGTTAATACAAAGTTCTCCACCCTATAATTGATGGAGTGACCACTGCTTCTCATAATGGAAGTTCCCCATTAGGGACCTGTGCTGTGATTTGTCACCCAGTGTCTGTTTCCTGATTCTGTTAATGATGGATCACTTCAGCCTCCTTCAGCAATC